GCCCCCTGCAGGCTGAGATTAGTTAAACGCCCTGCAGGCTGAGATCAGTTAAACGCCCCCTGCAGGCTGAGATCAGTTAAGTGCTCAGTTTCAACCTCAGCCTGAAACATGTGATCTGTTTCATCTGATTCTGATGTGGTCTGTTTCATCCCTCCAGGTGCGTGCCTATGGTCCAGGTCTTCAGGGAGGCATTGTGGGTAAACCCGCCCCCTTTGCCATTGACACAAAGGGAGCGGGCACCGGTGGTTTGGGCCTGACGGTGGAGGGGCCATGTGAAGCAAAGATCGAATGTCAGGATAATGGTGATGGCTCCTGCTCGGTCTCCTACCTGCCCACCGAGCCCGGTGAGTACGCCATAAACATCCTGTTCGCTGACCAGCACATCCCCGGCTCCCCCTTCAAGGCCATGGTCCAGTCCGCGTTCGACCCCAGCAAGGTGACGGCGAGCGGCCCCGGCCTGGAGCGAGGCAAAGTCAACGAGGATGGATCGTTCACGGTGGACTGCTCCAAAGCCGGAGAGGCGAAGCTCACCATTGAGATTATCTCAGACTCTGGAGCCAAAGCTGAAGTTCACGTCCAGAACAACAGCGACGGGACGTACTCCATCACCTACATCCCACAGTTCCAGGGCATGTACACCATCACCATCAAATATGGAGGACACGCCGTGCCCAAGTTCCCTGTCCGCCTGCAGGTGGAACCGGCTGTCGACACCAGCGGAGTCAAGGTCTACGGACCTGGAGTCGAACCCAGAGGTGAGAAGAAACTGTTCACAGCTACAGGGAACCTGAATCATTCAAACGTCATCAGATCTGTTCACTTTTACTTTTTCGGGAAATTTAAATGTGCTCATTAGAAACTAAATTATCCAACTGAAACTTTACCAACATGATGGTTTTATAGATTCCTCCTTAATTAATGAAACGTTTGACCCACCATGACGCCACCCGTTGGTTTGTGAGCCGCCGTTTTCTCCAGCGCCATCTTGGGGTTAGAATTAACTCCTGAGGACAAAGTTTACTGACGTTATAAAGTGAGAAGAGACATTTTCTATAGAAACCACCAGTGGTCAGAACCCAGGTTACAGACACAGGAGTCTATGAACATTTATAAAAACCTATTTTTCTGTTGTGGTAAATATTAAAGTTGGTAGAGCGAGCTTCATGTTTTTAGTCTCTGGTCCAAAGTTTCCACGTCTGTTTGTTGACGTCAGCTCTCATTGGTTTATTTACTGACACGTAATAAAGTCTGCAGCTCATTTAAACTTTCCTCATTATGTTTCCTTCTCTTTTAAAACTAATTCATGAAAAGTCTGCACGGAGGCTGAATAACATGACGACTGCTTCCTGTGTTTCCTGATAAACATCTGCTGCATCCTCACTAATGAGAGTTTGATTTGTTTCTCGCCTGCAGGCGTCCTGAGGGAAGTGACCACACATTTCATCGTCGATGCTCGGTCTCTCTACAAAAGCGGCAGCCAAATCAAAACCTGCATTTCCAACCCGTTAGGCGGCAACACAGATGCCTACATCACAGACAAGGGCGACGGGACGTACAGGGTGGAGTACACGCCCTATGAGGACGGTGAGCAGCCTCACACACTTCTGTGTTTGCAGGAGGTTGCAGAGCTGCTGCTGGTTTATAGATGTGTTTCTTCCAGAGCAACACGTCGTTAAACTGCTGGGTTTTAAACAGTCACAGTAAAGAGACAAAGTGTTCGTGGTTTAAAAAAAATCCTCATGTTTAAAAGTTTAAAATCGATAATCAAACTGTGAAGTTCACTTTATTATTTTATAATGTGAATTTTGTGATTATTATATGAAAGTGTTTGAGTGAAAGTGAAGTGAGTCGAGTCTCTAACGAGTCGAGAGCAGCAGTGATGAACTCTGGGTATAAATAGCTGCAGACAGATGGTTTTCCACTGATAGTAACCTGTGACATGCTGGAGCCCAGTGCATTGTGGGACAGGAATACTCAGAAAGGCGTGTGGTCTTCTGTCAGTGTCACACACACAGAAACCACACATTGTGTGTGTGTGTGTGAAAGGTTGTTGGTTCTAAACCTGAATGATTCTCAGGAATCTTTGAGCAACAGCTGCTCACTGACGTCAGCTGAGAACTGAGGTTACGATGAGTAACCACCAGTTACAACAGCGTCACCTGTGACGTCACGTTCATTTGAACATACAACACCTGGTTTGGATAAAAACGTTTTCTTGTGTTATTTACGTACGAACTCAGCCATAAGGTGCCAAACAAAATGATTATGTATTTGGACAACAGGTGGCGCTGTCACGGTTTTTTATATCTAACACCAGGACTCTGGTTCTTATTTTTACGTCCTGTGACTTGAACTTGAACTTAGAGTCGGACACGGCCTGATGGGATATGTAGTCCCTCCGGTCATATTTCTCTAGTTCACATGACATCACGACCCCACCTCCTGTCTGTGTGGCGTCCAAGTGTCAGGTGACACATCTGGAGAAGAGGATGTGATTCTTCTCTCGGCTCTTTCTGTCGTCAGGTTTACATCTGATTGAGGTTCTGTTTGACGACGTCTCTCTGCCGAAGAGTCCGTTCAGAGTGACGGTGACGGAGGGTTGTGATCCCAGTCGAGTGCGAGCATACGGTCCAGGTCTGGAGGAAGGACTGGTCAACAAACCGAACCGTTTCACTGTAGAGACCAGGTCAGTTCACCTTTTGGCTACGTCCAACATGACACACATCTGAAGATGTCCGACTGCTTCGGTCTCCGTCTGGTTTCTCATTGTCTGATTGTTCCTCAGGGGAGCCGGCACCGGGGGTCTGGGTTTGGCCATTGAAGGACCGTCTGAGGCAAAGATGTCGTGTAAAGACAACAAAGACGGCAGCTGCAGCGTGGAGTACATCCCCTTCACTCCAGGAGAGTATGACGTCAACATCACGTTCGGGGGTCTCCCTATCCCAGGTGACGGATCCACTTCATTAAATCCAGAATTTAGGTCTTCAAAAGTTCAGCAGGGAGAAACTCACCTGAATGTTGGTGTCACAGGAAGTCCTTTCAGGGTCCCGGTGCGAGAGCTGGTGGATCCCAGTAAGGTGAGATGTTCAGGTCCTGGACTGGGAAGTGGAGTCAGAGCTCACGTCCCTCAGACGTTCTCTGTCGACAGCAGCAAGGCTGGCATTGCTCCGCTGGAGGTTCAGCTCTACGGTCCGACAGGTGAGACCATGAACGGCATACTGGTTCTTCTTCCTCTGATTCCTGAGAGATGCGTCCATGGACTCAGACCTCAGCCTCAATGACTGATCTCCTCAGGTGTGACCGAACCCATCAGCATCAGCGACAACGGTGATGGAACTCACACGGTGAACTACACTCCTGCCAACGATGGCCCGTACACGGTGTGTGTAAAGTACGCTGACCAGGAGGTTCCTCGCAGGTCAGTACTGCACAGATCAATTTGTGATTCCGTCTTCTTCGTCTTCATGGTCAAGGTCTAATGTCTCAAATGTCTCCTCTCAGTCCATTCAAGATCAAGACTTTACCGGCTCACGATGCCAGTAAAGTTCGAGCCAGCGGTCCCGGCCTGGACGCATCCGGGGTCCCAGCAAGTCTGCCGGTGGAGTTCACCATCGATGCTCGGGACGCTGGAGAGGGACTGCTCACCGTCCAGATCCTGGTGAGTCTCAGCATCCTGACAGACACAAGGACAGAATAAAAGGTTCCAACTAAAATGGTTCCTTCAAACCTGCTGTGTAGTAAAACCTGGTTTGAGAAACGTTTGAGAAACAGATCTTCATGTTGATTCTGTTTGACTTTGAGCTGCAGGATATCGTAGATTAAACCAGATTCATTTCACTCATATTTCTGCTGCTTCAAACTTCAGGTTCAAAACTCTCGTCTCAGAGCTGTGAAACATTTTTCTGTTTCGTTAACATTGAATAAGTTTGTTGTTTGTCTGGTAGCGCTGACGAGAGTTTACCAGTCGTTTGTCGCATCGTTTAACTGTTTTCCAGGAACTTAATTATAGTTGGAAACAGTTTCTCTGTTTCCATGACGATTTAAACCAGATGACATCATTAATTTGCAGATAAACAGAACCTGTAAAATAAAGTTTCCATTATTTATTAAAACACTGACGTGTGGGCGTGTCCTGAAACACTTTTTCATATTCCTTCATGAGTCGTCAATAATCTGAACAGTTTCTGTGTCACTGACTCTTTAACCCTGATTCAAACTCTCCATGTGATGTCCTGCCGGGGCCCGTCGGGCCTCTGGCGGCCTCTGGGTGGCGCTGCGTGCTGCAGGGTCCGGATGGAAGCAGGCGAGAGGCCTCTGTGTTTGTGGAGGACTGGGCCCGGAGGGTGTGGGAGACTCATATAGTAAAGAAAACCATCCCCTTCAGTATTCTGAGGAGAGGCTGTGTAAGGCATCACCTCACCCTCCCTCTCCCCTCGTCTCACCCCTCGTCTCACCCCTTGTCTCCCCCTCAGAGAAGCAGAGTGGAGTCCAGGTCATGATCAGGATTAATATTATATACATCTGTACAGATTAAGAGTTTAAAAGTGATTTTATGGTTCAGAACCAAAACATTTTAGCTGCAAGTACATAAAGTTTCTCTAACAAGTAAATTCAGGGAAGTTTGAAAAGTTAAAAAACTGATTCCTGAAACCTCGTGTTCACAGAAACTTTAACTTCAGTCTGAGAATCTCCTCAAGAACGAGACTGAAGACGGAAACATCAACTGTTTTTACGTTTTTAATTAGTTTGTGTTTTATGCCTCCTCCTCTGTCTTCACTCCTCTGTCCTCTCTCCTGTCTTCTGTCCTCTCTCCTCTCTTTACTCTCCTCTGTCTTCTCTCCTATGTCTTCACTCCTCTGTCCTCTCTCCTCTGTCCCTGTGTTCTCCTCGTTGGTCTCCCATCAGTTCTCCACTAACCAGAGTGCCTCCATCCATCCTCCTGCTGCTCCAGTAGATTTAGACCCTGTGTGACAAACATGCTGATAAACGCTGCCAACACCACTGGTCTCAAACCAGCCGCTGTCCAGAATCCACTAGACCTGAACTCCTCAGGTCTCTGGATCTTCTCTGGAGGACGAACACGAATGTGAGAGTGAGACTCAGTTTGTCTGTCTCCTCCTTCACTCCTGTATAAAGTCAAAATCCAAGTGAGGACACAGCAGAGCGTCCTCCACTGATCCACTGAGGGAGTGGGGGGGTGATGAGCTTCTAACACGTGACACAAACATGAAGAAACACAAACAAATGTCTCTGGAGACAAAGTGCTGACTCACGTAGAAGACAGACGAAGAATTGACCTCTCACAAAATCAGTTTGTCTCTGGTCGTGTGGCTCATGGGAGGAGACCATTGATGTGCAGCTTCACTTTAGAATGTTCCTGTTTGTCATACGTGTTCACAAACATCATGTCGGCACATGTCCAGGATCCAGAGGGAAAACCTAAGAAGGCGAACATCCGAGACAACCGGGACGGTACGTACACGGTGTCGTACGTCCCCGACATGACGGGACGCTACACCATCACCATCAAATACGGAGGAGACGAGATCCCGTACTCGCCGTACAGAATCCACGCCCTGCCCACCGGGGACGCCAGCAAGTGTCTGGTCACAGGTCAGGCTCCGCCCATCACTGCTCTATCAACCAATTGGATTTCTTCTCCTGAAACTGTTGTTTTCCCACAGTGTCGATTGGAGGACACGGTCTCGGTGAGTTGTAATAAAACCTAAACTTTGTTCAGTTACGTGAAAAAATGTTTTCTATATAAATTAAATTCAGCTGCGATTCAGTAAGTTTTCATTCAGGATGTTTGTGACTCGTGACTGATTTGTTGTCTTGATCTCATCAGGATCAGGGATCGGCCCGACCATCCAGATCGGCGAGGAGACCGTCATCACTGTGGACGCAAAGGCTGCTGGGAAAGGTAAAGTCACCTGTAAGGTATCGACTCCTGACGGAGCGGAGCTGGACGTGGACGTGGTGGAGAACGCAGACGGGACGTTTGATATCTACTACACGGCCCCGGAGCCCGGGAAGTACGTCATCACCATCCGGTTCGGAGGGGAACACATTCCCAACAGCCCCTTCCACGTGGTGGTGAGTCCCACAGCTGCAGGGACCTAAAGGGCCTCAGGGACTAGTATAGTATGTGTACTATGCTATACTGTATTTTATACTGTACTCTGTACTCTACTATACAGTATATTATACTACATTACTGTACTCTGTACTCTACTATACAGTATATTATACTACATTACTGTACTCTGTACTCTACTATTCTATACGGTATATTATACAACATCATATTATGCTGTATCATACACAGTTTATTCTGTGTAGTATTTAGTATTAACTGTATACGATAACGTTTATACTGTATAGTATACAGTATCAATCATCTGTTTCTATAGCAACACCATCATTAACAGATAAATAAGGTTAAACAAACCCCCCCCCCCCCTCCTCTGTTTCTGTTGCTCCAGGCGACCGATGATCCCATCAGCCCTGTGGACAGGATGGAGCCGGTGCTCCGCCCCTTCAGTCTGGTCATTCCCTTCACGGTGCAGAAAGGAGAAATCACAGGTGAGACTCTTCAACAGTTCACTGAAGAACAAACGATTTTACTGCAGCTCGCTTCACTTTACTGCAGCTAGCTCGCTTCACTTTACTGCAGCTAGCTCGCTTCACTTTACTGCAGCT